GATCCCCGGGGGCCGAGACGGGGTGGGGGTTTGACCCGCGGACCCTCGGCGCGGGGATCCCTGACCTCCGCAAGCGCCGGTTGACCCCCGCCCCTGCCCCAACCCCTCCACCTCCACCCCCACCCCAACCACCTGTGAATACCCCCACCTGCCGAGATCCTTCCCCGTCTGCTCGTTCAAGACCAGCCACCCGAGCTGCTGTTAACGCTGGCGTCACCCCCGCCCCTCCTGCAGGCACTTGTAACAGGGACGCACCTTCGTCGAGCCGACCCTCAGGGAGATTGGCCGAAGTCTTTGCATCGGTAGCTGGCCACGCCCGCAGGATGTCAGGTTCCCAGTACCAGGCATTCCCCTGGGATGGGATTTGACAGAGTGAGAGAAGGGAAGAAAGTTGTGGTCGCTTCTACCAGTGCCGGCGGAAGGAAGCAGTATCTCGAAGATATGAAGAAGGAATTGATGAAAGAATACAAGGCGGATCTGGAAGTACTCTGCAGAAAGGACAACATCAAGTACATCAACAAGAAGCAGGCCGTTAATGAGCTTGCCGAACTGCGCACAAGAGACGCCTACGGAGACACCGAAGAAGACGAGGACGGCGACCTGATCAACGACACAGGGTCTGAATCTCAAGAGGAGAATCCCTCTTGATATCCTTTTGGGATACAGGATGGCTGTGGGAAAGAGTGCACAGCCTCTGTCGTAAACGGGAATCTGCTAATATGAGAGGAGACAATTGGCAGCAGCTCGAAACGCTGATGTGTTTTTTCGTCCTTATTCTGATAGCGGTCGGTGCTGTCAATTGGGGTAGGGAATTTTTAGATATATGGATCGACTCAGTTGAGAAGGGTCATGATATTTGTTTAGATCAGGGAAGTTGCGTCTATATACTCATTTCTCCATGGCATCGAGCTACGTATATCGGCTCCACTACCAGAAGTATATCAGAGAGATGGAGAGAACATGTTAGACTGGTTACCTCCGACGTGAAGGGTCGAAATCACAAGCTGAAACGATGGATGCAGAGACATGGGTGGGGGTCGTATGTCGCTATACCGCTAGTGTTCCCAGTCGAAGCAGAACTCAGGAAGGTCGAAAGGTCATTCATATCTAGATGCTCTCCCTGTCTGAACTCGATCCTTTTTAGCAAGAAGAAGTCTTGCAAACGGAAAGGCCGAAGAGAGAGATCCTCTTTCTTGAAAAAGTTAGGAGACACGAATACCAATCGTAGTAGAGACAAACGTGTGATCCAATGGTCCTTTTCTTTTGGTTGCTCTAAGGTCCGTCCTGATGCTGCCTTATCTTTCTCCTTTAATGACCCCGTGAAATTAGCAATAACCGATGGCATTACCTACGCAAGCATAGTATCCAGTGGCGGCGGTTATTTTCTTGAAGGCTGGGGCAGGATCAGTAAGCTTTTTGGCATGTCCATGTTCGATGACCATGGAAAAAGACATCTGCTCAAGGAAATGAAAGAGAAATTCCAGGCTGGAGGAACCTTTACTTGTGTACTATTTCGGCTAAGAACTTGTATGAGATCGACTCGTAAGTTCGTACTAATATCTCTTCTTCAAATCCTGACTTCCAGATCTCTCCTGCATACATTCTCTAGTAGCGCACTGATAAAACTATTTAACACTATTGATTATTTTCCCAATACTCGTACACAGGCTATTCTGAGAGGAGTGGTGAGTCCTGTCTTAAACAGAAAAGTGGGATTCCAATGCACCACATCCCCTGTGGTAAAAATTAAATATAATATTTCCGTGAATAAATTGAGGATTGTTGATGTGGCAAAAAGTATTATAAGAAAGCAGTGTAACACACCCTCTACTGCTGACTTTGTTATTTCTCGCCTAAGATTTGTATGGCAGAAGAATCGTAACATTGGACAACTCTTTCATAATCACAGAACATCTGCTAATTTGTCCTCCGATTTCTGCTCCTGCTCTTCGATCTCTGCAAATATCCCAAGGAATAATGATGGCCACATTGGTGTTCGTTTTTCTAATATTGCCGGCCTACCTCTGCTACTGCGCAACTCTAAAAACATCTTCCCTCCCTCTCGGCCTCACTCAATCTCCCAAATCAGGCGTGCCATACAGGGGGGTCTCTGTAGACTACCTGGTGACATCTATTGCAGCTACAACACTGCGAAGTCCTGTCTTAAGGACGACCCGTTTGATTCCTTTGAACCTCCGTTCTCTAACTGGAAGGATAAGTTTGACCGACTAGTCATCGCACCAATCGATCATAACATCGGAGATTCCTTCGCCTGCTGTAAAAAAATCTATCACGCCGCTCTTGGAAAATTATACTGGAAAAATACGGGTTTTATAATTACACAGGAATCCGAGGCAAGCGTGCTCAATGCATGCAAAGAAAAATTTGATATGATCTCAGGGAACAAGATAGCACCATGGAACAAGCGGGGGTCCTTGGGAAAATGCTACGGCATCCCCAAGCACAAAGACACGTCGCGCTGGCGACCGATAGCTCCTACGTTTTCTGATCCTAGCGTACGCGCCTGCAAAGTAACAACAAAAGCAATCAACTTTCTCCTATGGAACCTCCCTAAGCAGTCAAACTTCAACCTCAAATCTACTAACCTATTGAAGACTGAGATCGAAGCACTGAATAAAAGGGCGTCAAAGACTTGCAATGGAACTCTATGGTCTGCCAGTTACGATATAAAAGAAATGTTCACCAAGCTACCCCACCCCTCTATCTTAAAAGCACTCGATTGGATCTGCTTCTATTTTGCCAGCTTAGGAAAACGAAAAGTCAGAGTCAACAGACAAGGAAAAGGGACGACTTTCTGCAATGGGTCAGGCGAGAAGGGATGGGTCTCTGTTAACTTTCGGCAAATTATCGATTTCGTTAATTTCGATCTAGATAATTCCTACTTTCGCATCTCTTCGTATATTGTGAAACAGATTATAGGCATTCCTATTGGAAAATGTTTGAGTCCTGCCCTGGCTTGTCTGCTGTGTTCTTTTAACGAAATCAACTTCCTAATGTCTTTGGCTGCTGATGCCCGTTTTATCTCAGGGCTTAGACTGATTGATGACGTCAGTATTTTTCTACTTTTTCCGAAGCAATCCAATCGACACACAGAGAATGCAAGACGTATCTTCAACGTTTTTGAAGCTTCATATGACAGCAATTTGTCACTGGTACGCACTGATGACGGCAGTGGCTACTTCGACTTTCTTGGATGTACTATCTCCAGCAATCAAACGCCACCTAAGGTAGAATGCCTGGCCACCACGAAGAATCAGGAGTTCATCTGGAGCAGTAATCCTATCAGAGTTATCTCTACGCAAGACTTCTGCTCCTACTGCCCGTCGAACCAAAAGAAGGCTGTTATCAAGAGTCACCTGAACCAGATATACTCCCACTCCTCAGACCATAGAGGAGTGGGAGCAACGTTGCTTGCTCTTCGACGGGAACTCAGAATTAAGGGACACCCGAACAAATGGTTCATGAAGGCACTTAGAGATTTCTCCTCGGAAAAAGGAGGATGCTGGGATGGTTGGGTCAGTTTGTTTGAAACCGGGCTAGGCTGCTGGTTCTAACCTTCGTACCGGAAGTCCGCAGCGCAATCCTGCATTTGCCCGTTTCCGCACCTCGTATCTGCCCCGTACCTGGACCCCGCTGAATGACCCTCTTCGCACCACCCCGTTTCTGCCTCGTACCCGGACCCTGAACCATAATTGCTCCCTCCCTATTTCACGTTTTTCTGACCCCAAGTGCTGCTGGATCCATCCTATCCCTTCTGCGCCCACTTCCCGACAAGACTTTGAACCTGGTTCCTCCCTGTTACCATTCTCGCACAAACCAGAGTATCCCGCACTATCCACCCAAATATTGACTGCCTGTGAAGAACGTGACACTGTTTCATTTTCTAGCAACATCCCTGGATCCTCCATCCTTAGCACTCTGTCTTTTTCGCCAGCAAATACTGCCCCTCGCACTATCTCCGCATAGAAAACAATCCCTACTTGTCTCTTCTGCCCGGCCTCGATCTCATCGCTATCTCCCGCCCTGAAGTTCTGCTACCTGTACTCCTCGACGGTTGCTTAGCCGCTTCCATCGCAGTTTCTCCCGCCCTGCAGCAATTTCTGCATTCCGCACTCTATCTACTATCCTCCCAGCCTCTCGGCAGATGCTTCCAACCGAGCTGCTGCCATCACTACCGCGCATGCTGTCTAACGGGTTTTCTGGTGACGCCTATTCCGACATTTCTCGTGTCACCTTCTGACCCCCTTCCCCCCTCTTCC